ACATGTAACAGCATTAAGTAATCAGGATACAAAAATTTTTTAACTGTATTCAGTTACAGAAAATAAAAACTTAATCAGATTACAGGTACATTTTTAAAAATCTGGGATTACTTATAGGGATTACTTTAAGCAGAAAGTTTCCATGAAACAGAAAACGCAGTGTTATTTGTCTCCATATATGTTTTTTATATACAGTCTATGGTATATGTACGTGTTTCTGTAAAAACACAAAGCAAGGGAAGGACGTGTCGGAGGTATTGATTGGCGTTTACAGTCGCCAGTAGCACCAAATGTGTGTTTACGCCCCGACCCCATGCAGACTCTGTGCAGACTGGTTCCAGCTCTCAGTGAGAGAACACAGCAGCTGGACCAACACAGCCTCAGAGACCGACAGAGGCCAGTTTGACCACTGGGGATACAGTACGAAGGTGGGTTTCTTGCCGGGTTTGCCTCTTGGCAACCCGGGGTTGAGTAAGCTAATAGCACCGCTAGCAGCACGGCTAACTGACCGAAGTAACCAGCCACAGATACAGGCAGATAGGTTTGCAGTTTAGCAAAAAGTAAAGCTATCACAGAAGCTCTGTGTAAATCATCTCAGTAAGTTACTGGATTCCCTGTTGGTCGCTGAGGCTGTGTTCGGTCCTGTTCATGCTGTGGTCACTGGGAGGCTGCTGAGCGAGGTTTTGTTGCCCGCTCGCCTGGCTACGGTTACAGTCTATGGTAAACGCTAACATACCCCCGGTGCTCCGATCTCCCTGTACAGGCAGAGTAAGCTAATTTGACCAGTGGTTGCACAGTCAACTGAGCTACTAACAGCAGCTAACAGCTGTTAAGTAACTTCAGCAACAAGTAAAGCTATCTGTCCATCAGGACACTCTGTGAATCACAGAGCTGAGGCAGAGCAGCAGGGGGACATCAGAGAGAAAACTAGAAAAATATTTTCTCCATATTTCTAGTATTTCTCCATCAAATATGATCCAGTTTCACCAGAATCAGTAAAGAAAGTTGTTTTTGTAATGTAATCAGTGTAACGCGTTACTGCCCAACACCGGTGCCTGTGTCCACCAAAACATGTAGAGTGAGACTGCCATGAGATTTTGCGGGAGAGGAAATAACTCTGCGAGGAAGCACATTGTTTTGTTTAAGAGCTGGGATGTGCTCGGTGTGGTGTTTGTCCCATCCCTCCTGCACTGTGATTGGACGGCTGGGTAAAAACTGACAGTAATGAGTGCTGCGTTTTTCCCAAAGTTCCGGAAAAACACTCTCAGCGCCTCGTCATGCTGCTGGCGTTTTTACCATGTTGTAAAAACCTGGCACTCCCAGAGCAATCAATTAAAAAAAGACACTGGCCTCAGGAAAAAATGCTTTGGTGGACACACATCTCTGGCTTTGCTTGTACTGGCTGAGGCTGCCTGTATTTCAACTTGGTCTGTGTGACTTGCTAAAGTCGTCTGTAGCCTACTGGGTTTGTGCTAGTATTGGCTGAGGCTGGATTTGGATTAACTGTGCTTGTACTGTCTTATGATCCAGTATGTACTCTACTGACAAACTTTAGCATAGCCCCTGAAAATTATAAATAATACTTTATTGTTATCAGCTGCATCTGGCCCATTCAAACTGGCTCCCCAGGTTTACTTTAATACATTTTCAAAGGGAAAATTCTATTTATACTATGATTTGATTAAATATGTGATGCTTATTATGTACCAAGAGATGTGCATCCATATATCCCTGTCTGCCCAGCTAATCAACATATTAACAGTCAATAGTCAATGCCATTGCTTTCCATATTGCATTAGTCCAGATTTGTAACTACACTTTGACTGAGAGAAAGATAGACAGACAAATGTAAAGTCACTTTACATTTTTGGCAGGGGATAAATGTCTTCCTTCCTCCCTTAAAAACGTTTTTCTTCCTTCTAAATGTAAATGTAATGGTGACAATAAATCTCCCGCCAAACATTTGTCATGACTGGGATTTGAACCTGAAACCTTCTGCATGAAAACAATTTCATTGCCCCTGCACCACACAAGTAAGTGGGGCTTATCCACCAGCAATAAACTTTCACCTGCTTAATTGTCAGCACATTACATTGGCGTTTACTGATATAGCTGAAGCTTTTATTTGGAACCCACACAACCCACAGCGGAAGATAAAAGTGTCTACCAAATGAGAAAATGTACTTTATAATTACTTATTAAACATTTAAAAATATTCCAATTTCATGTACATAATAAAAAGTGATGGCTTATGACTGGCGGACTAATCAGCTTTTCGCACATATATTGTTTTTTAGACACTTTAATGTTTAATTGTTGTCTCTATTGACTAACTCGCCCCACATACGTACTCAGTTTGCGCATATACACATACTTCATCTGACGTATATACACTCGCTTCGCACATATATACCTACACACCTTGCGCATACATACATACTCACCTTGCACACACATACAAGCATGGTTCTCTTCATATGCACTGACTCCAGCTGCAGTCCATTCCTTGTGAATCTCCCCCACATTTTTGAATGTTTTTCTACCACATCTTTTCCTTCCCTTCGCCTCTCTATTAATGTGCTTGGACACAGAGCTCTGTGAACAGCCAGCCTCTTTAGCAATGACCTTTTATGTCTTGCCCTCCTTGTGCAAGGTGTCAATGGTCGTCTTTTGGACAGCTGTCAAATCAGCAGTCTTCCCATGATTGTGTAGCCTACAGAACTAGACTGAGACCATTTAAAGGCTTTTGCAGGTGTTTTGAGTTAATTAGCTGATTAGAGTGTGGCACCAGGTGTCTTCAATATTGAACCTTTTCACAATATTCTAATTTTCTGAGATACTTGATTTTTTCATTAGTTGTCAGTTATAATCATCAAAGTTAAAAGGAATGAACACTTATAAATATATCAGTCTGTGTGGAATGAATGTATACATTATACAAGTTTCACTTTTTGAATGGAATTACTGAAATAAATCAACTTTTTGATGATATTCTAATTATATGACCAGCACCTGTATACTGTAAGGAGATGGGGAGCATGTTGAAAATCCTATATCATGCCATCTTTTTTTAAGATATCAGAGGTAGCCTATTCTGATTGTCAAAAATATCAAAAAGAAATCATTATTAGACTATCAGCCACCGTCTCGACAGCATGCCCAACAGCAAGGTTGCACAGATTTATGGCCGTGGAAACAGACGACGCTTGTGGGTCATACGCATGCGCAGAACCGCTAAGTAGCACATCTTGATAGGAAGCATAAATCAACAGAACACCGGATCCTGCTGAACAGGATCTGGGACCTCCAAGATTGGGACAGTCACCCATTTCATTGTCATCTGCAAGCCCCACATATACACAGATGCACTGTATGCTGGCAAGAGGTTTAAAGGTGTGGTAGAATACTCATTTTCAGGTTCATACTTTTTAAAAATTATTTTTAGGGTTTCTACTAGGGGTGGGAATCTCTGGTCACCTCCTTCTTCTCTCTAATAACCAGTTTTAAGACTCTTCTGAAAACTGAAATATAATTTAACTAGTATCAGGATGTACAGTATGTGTACAGGACAGAGCTGTACACCAGTTTAACTTGTACTTGATGTTCTCAACCCTGGACAACTAAGTAGTAATGGCATACAGCTACTTACTTTATTTACTAGACCGCGTGACCTAACTTAGCAGACAAAACACGTGCTGTACAAGGGAGATGTTGCGCTAACTGCCTGCATTTTCCAGCAGTTAGGGAAACAACAGACTTTCATTAACGGACACACTGACCTACACTGCACGTTTACTACCACACTGAAACTTACTGCTAATATTTTTCTCTGCTAACTTTCACCGTCATGTTCTGCTGCTCCCTCTCTCTTTCGTTTGGCCTCACACAGAGGATCCACAGGGAGCTGCCAAGCCTTTAGTGTCATGGCGCTCGCACAATGTGCGAGTTAAAATCATTACTTGCGCATTGATATTCATGATTGTGTGACACCAAGTAGGGTAGTTATTTATTTTGCAGCGGTGGTGTGCCGAATATAGGGGGGAACACTGGTCTCTGTTATTTGTGCGCCACAGACGGTCCAGGCGCTGCACTTCCGCAAGTGGGAGTTCGGCGTTTTGCGTTCCGTCAACATTATGTTACGTTATCAATTAACATTTAAATAATAGATTTTTTGATTTGGTAATCGAGTTAGAATCAATTTTTTTCTCCCACCCCTAGTTTCTACTAGAAAATGTTTACATGCTGCAATGTTCAAAAAACACAAATTTCTCATACTGTCCACTTCTTCAGCTCCTCGTTTCACCCTCTGAACATTCTGTTTTAGCTCCTGTCTCTTCAAGGCCCCCCTCCCTGAAAGCCCACTTGCTTCTGATTTTCCAAATTCCCGAAGTGTGTGATTTAAAAATGGTCAGTCAAGTAGAGTATTTGTCAATAATGAGTTAAACCATGCAAAACTATCTGTGTGGTCCTTACATAATGTAAACAATACTTGAATTGGTGCGCTATAAAAAAGATTATTTTGAACTGAATTGATATGTATTAAGAGATATTTTTGGATGGAGTGTGCTTTCCTTTGCATTCAGGAGGCGAAGAATCATATTCACCAGTTTCGCTGCACATAATGCTAGCTTTCCCAATCAGGGTGTATCCTTCATTACAGATGTACCGTATGATTTCTCCAGATTTTGGAACATCTTGAGAATCCCATTAGCTTCTGCCATTGGTCACTTCACTTGGTTATTCACATGCAAATAATCTATACTGACTGACACAGAGGAAAGAGAAAAAGCACAAAAAACTTCGGGAACAGAGGAAGAAGAACAATGTCACAAAGATTGAAAAAACAAAACTACATAAGCCATGTGTTAACCCACTCGTGCAAGAGTAGAGAAACAGAGCTTGTCTTTTAAAATAGATTTTGTTGTAGGAATGTACGAAAAAACAATTGTTTTATTGCTCCTGGCTATGGGTTCAAGAAATGCAAAATAAGAGACATTTACTTTCACACTTAGCTCTTCCAGTCCACCCTCTGGCGTAGCACTGTTTGAAGCTTGATCCACTAATCTGGTAACTGTTGAAAGTAAAAAAAATAAAGCAGGACTGTTTATTTAAGGAGGAAATACTGGAGAGCCATGATTTTGCAATGCAGTAGGGAGCTGATTTCCGTATTGAAACTCAATAATTACAGAGCTTAATCAAGAACTATGTATCAACAAGTCTCTCAATGTTGGCCATGTTTCTAATCAGTGAAACCATGATGTAACACTTTCTGGCCACAGCTCTGTTTGTCTATTCTTCTCTATGTTGTTTTCTTTAGAGACCTTTTCCATTAGCGAATCCACCTTGACTTCAGTCTTCAAGGTCCATTTGCCAACAGCACTGTTTGATAAGACAAGACAACTGCTTTTGTTAATGAACATTACTACTGAGGGCTCCCTGTGTGTTGTCACTGGAGCTGCTCCATATAGACGCTTACTTCTGTAAATCCTAGACATTTTTTTTTTTTCAGTTATAATTCAACCAGAAATTAGATTGGGGAATTTGATATCTGGCCCTGCATTGGACTGGCGACCTGTCCAGGGTGTACCCCGACCTTTCGCCCAATGTAAACTGGGATTGGCTCCAGCCCCCCGCGAACCTGTACGCAGGATAAGCGGTTGACGATGGATGGATTTGATATCTTTTACATTTATACTCACCCTTTGTCACAAACTACTGTTATTACAGCACCAAACAGGGTACCATCGCTGGTATTGAAGCTCATATTCGGCTGAGGTTTAGGGAGACCACAGTCCATCTCTGTAATATAAAAACAAACATGAGAACATTGCTGCTGGAATGTTATGCCTGGACATAAACCCCAAAACGGCAAAATTATGGTTGGTTGTCAAAACTAGAGGTCTATGTTTGATAAGTATCAATGGAGTTATAATGAAAGTAGACAGGACTCACTTTTGCAGGTGAGATCTAGTTCAGTCCAATTCCCATCAATGCAAGTTATAATCCCAGAGCCCGTGTCTGCAAGATATCCATTACCACACTCTAAAGTGACACTAATACCCTCTGGAAAATCATTCATTAGAAGCGTTTTGTCGGATAAGACCATATTTCCCCTTCCGTGAGGTCTAGGACAGTCAGCTGTGGAAAAAAAAAAACAAAAACAGAGGCAACAACAACAGCAACATCTTTTTGTTTCAAAATCAGACATGGTGAACCAGCTCTAAAGCAAATATATACTGCTAATATCAGACTTACCATATAGTTAAGTCATGATATAATGCATGTGAGATGTTTTTAAGCTTTTGTCTGAAAAAACATCTTCTAATGAGGCACCCTTTATAAAGTTATATGTTTTTTAGTTAGTAGTATTATTATTGGTTAAAAGTTATGATAGAAGACTTATCTTTTGTCGTGAAAGTTCATCTGACAAAAATTTGTTGTAGAATACTCCTACAGAGACGAAAATGTAGTGGTTTTTAAAGTTGAATTTATAGTCCTATACGCTTCATTAGCCACTTTATTAGGTAGGCCTACACCGGTATCCTACAATATATGTTTACTATTGAGGTCATAAGCTAAAGGTGGTGTTGTACTGGACCACATTATACTGCAAGGTGTCTCTGTTTATACATGAGGTGGGGCAGAATATTGGAGACACCTCCGAACATTATGCAGTCCAGTACAACACCATGACATCAAACTCAAATAGTGTCAACAAAAAAAATACATTATAGGCAACATAGTAAACGTCATGGCAGGAACTGTATAGCGTACCAGGTAGTACGCTATCCAGACTCTAACTCAGACACCTTAATTAAAAAACTTACCAATGTTAAATCTGTATTATTTTCTGAGGTATGGTTTCATAGAAGCTGACATTATAGAGACAGTTGTTCTGTGGAGAGTGGAGCAGCCAGCCTTGCCGGAACTCTCATCTGACTTCGTACGATGATAAATTTATCTATTTAACCCGATAGCCTACTGACCTGTTGCCTTCAAGATAGAGGTATAATAACAGCAGATGTTTGACTCTTTGCTGTCCACAGGTGTTCAGTAAAAATTCCATGTCGGGCAGCAAAAGGATCCAGAAAGTATCTCCTTCAGTCCAACTTCTTCAGAGAGGCGATACAGAGAAGCGAGTCGCTCCGCTGCTGTTGAACAGTTGTCCTCTCGCTAAACGCACCGCTAGGGTCCACATTGTCTGCGATCCAGTTAATAGCCAGAATGACAGGAAGTGACGTTCTCCTCCCAAAAAGCACGCGTTTATATTTTATCCCAATTAACACACTGCTCCCTAAAATAACCATTTAGTTAGGCCCTACTCTATATTGCCAAAGCTTTAGGACACCTCTCAGAATCATTTATTTCAGGTGTTCCAATCTATTCCATGGCCACAGGTTATCAAGCACAGGCATGCAGACTACTTCTACAAACGCACCTCCCTTCTCAGCAGCCACATACGTAGGTTATGGATCCGCTTATTTTTAATGTTTGATAATGTTCTCAACCATATATCTGTCCACGGCTAGTTCACCTGCCTTTACCGTGCTCAGGCATACCAAGGATGTGATGTAAAGAGTAGCAGTAATGTTTAACTACACACACTATGCTGTATAGTTTTTGCGGCCAGTAAGCTCAATCTTACAATAATGATCTCTTCAGAAAACAGCTTCTATCAAAAAACCCTAACCCAGAAAAAAATTGCCTACCCCAAACCCTACAATGATTAACTGAGACACAACATTTTTTTCCACATCTGAATTGATGCTTGCCCTCCAACCATGTCCACTTAACACTTAACTGCAAGTCAGTGACATGTAGTGGTGTAAAATATAAACTGCAAAAACTAATGAAGGTACTAATAGGATAATAATGAAACAAAAATCACATGGCATTGGTTTCTTCCAGTGTGAGAGTCAGTGCAGCAGTTTCCTCCTTATTTATGAAATGAACAGAAAGCAATCAACAAGTATCTGTCAGAAGTTCTGCTCTCCGACATTACAACATTAAAACAATGTTGTTTTTTGTTGTTTTTTACTTAAGACGTTTGACGAACTGACATTATTGACAAAGTAGGCTACTACACGAGTTTGAAACAGTAAAAGTATGTTTTGTATGTGTGTTGGGTATAGTGAATGAACATGAGGTGAAAGGTACTGGTGAGCAGCATCACAAACCTGAATAAGAGAAGATTTATTTCTTCAGGTCTCTAACTTTTCACAAGCTATAGGTATCAGCAATTGCTGGTTACCTTCTTAGATCATGGTAGCACAGACGGGAACAAATCTGACCCACATCCAATCTTTTGCCACACATTTATGCAGCAGTGTGTGATTGTTTAAGACAGAAACGGCAACCCCCCCCCCCCCCCCCCCCCCCCCCCCTACACATTTGGGTTAGAGAAGCAACACAGACTGTTAAATTTGTAATTATTAATAGTACAAGTCAAAAACAAAGTTTAAAGACAACAGCTCTGTGTAGAACATTTGCCTTGGCTATGAAAGGGTCAGTACAATCAGATTCCACACATCATTTTAAGCCTGTCCCTGAAATAAAACATACATTACTTCATATTCCAGCCATTTAAGTAAGCTGTTTCGTCAATTATCACACCATTTGCAATTGCCAGACATTTTGTAGCTATTAAGGCTGCTCATCTATGGCTGCAAGTCCTGAATGACTGAGCAGGTCTCATCCAAACCAGGGTCAAAGTCACTGACATGATGATGAAGTGCAGAGGGTCTTGACAGCCATTCACAGACACATACTTCTACATCAATAAAACATTGAAAACCTCTGTTAAGATGTCGTTAACTGCTCTGCTGGAGCAGGTTCAGTGATCAGCTGTGGATCTCCCAGGTGTGAATCTCTAACTGCAGGAATTTGATGGAACGCACTGCAGAAGCTCATCACACATGCAGGGTAAAACCTTCCTTAACAAAAGGTTAAAAAAAAGAATATTTGGTCTATTCCCAGACTGTGGTTTTGCAAATGTTCATAATTTCAAAGTAAAATTGTACCAGTCAGGGACCTTGATTTGTAGAAGCTCCCTGCAGCTAATCCAATTTTAATTTACAAATGCTTAAAAGATCCTGCCCAAGAGTAACACACATAGAGCCTGCGACAAGCCGTGTTTAATGTTTTGCAGTTACACTGGTTTGCGATATTTCCAGTTCAGCATGTGCCATTTATTCAAGTGTCTTAGCTGTAGGTAAAATATAAAGTAGAGTACTTTAGCAGACTCATATCTTACATAATCCTTATCTTTCAGGATTTGAAACCAGTCTGACATCAGCTTCACTGTAGCTCTGAAAAGACATCATTTGTGTTCTCGCTCCAAATACGGGCCCATGATTCATGCCTAATTTTGAAATACGGAAATTGAATGGACATGAGGCATATGTGGCGCAAGATGCCTCTGAGCTTTCTCTTGTAATTGAAAAAGCATCTACTTTGCGCAGTCAAGCTCTCTCTGAGCTCAGCCGAGGAACGCAGTTGGCTACCATGACAACTAGAAATCTGCCATACTAACAGTGGCTTTTGCTGCTTTGTCAAATTAAAAGGACAGAATTGTTGAACTGTAGTGATAAACAGATTCTTCTGAATATGACACCTAAATGATTAAGACTATGTACAATGACATACAGTTCAGAAATAGAATAGCATGTTTTTAATGTAAATTTTATCTGTATATTTTATTTTCAGTACATGAGGTCCAGAAGGTGTTTTCAGTAAAACTTTATTTTTCAGTGCATGAATGGAACACCATGTCAAGGTCACAGTCTATCCTTTTCAATCCATTTTTAAATATTTTCTCTTTTTTCCCATAAAAAAATAATGGAGCGATTTGATATACCTCTATTTTTCCCCCAGAAAGAGCACTCAGCAAGTATTTATAAAGGTGCTGTACAATGTACAAACATTTACATCTACTGTTCCTACAGATTGTAGAAGATACCACAAGGATTGTTTTTCTAATGAAGCGATGCAAGGCCACAGTATGATACAGAGATGAGATACAAAATGGTCAAATTAAAGCATAAAGGAATACAACAATGCAGGGGACACAATAAAAAGGGCATTATCTGATTCACCAGAGTGAACTGCCTGTATCTGACACTCAGGGCTGGATTTACTCATTCAAACTATTGCACAAAAACCGACCACCGATTGGCTCACAGTACATCGTCTAGTAACTTTTAACGTGAATGTCGTGGAAATTGTATTCCTCCATAACAGTGAACACTCCCGTTTACAATCACAGACTCTTATCACAGTCAATCACAGACCTTAACCACCATTTGACAACCACTGATATTGACTTCGTCACGTTTGCTACTATACTGTGTTCCCTGAGCTCATTATATTTCCTTTTCTCTGATTTTACAAAGAAGCTTCAAAAACTCAAAAGTAAATAACAGTGAAACTATACTATTTCTCACTTTTACTGAGCCAATGTTTGGAACCAATTGTTTATCTTGTAGCCATCAGCTTAACTACCCTTAAAATATGTAAAAACGTGGGCTCTCTGTATGCCTGTCTTACATCAGCAGCATGCTCAGTATCTCAGTAAACCATATCACTCTCTAAGCTCCATTATCCTTCAAGCTACCCTGGTAGATAATCACACAGCAGGATTGACAAATACATACCATTTAAAACCCCATTTTTTTTAAGGTAAAAGCATCAGGGACATGACTCAGCACTTGCACAGTATTATATAAATTGCCTATTTGGCCATAAACAGTGAATCTTTTAGAAAAAATGAAATAGCTTTATAAAACATAATAATAATAATAATAATAAAAATGCAATGCATTGGTAGCAAGTCAACATCACAAATGAAATACAACTCATGATCATTCTGTTATGCTACAAGGGCAGATGCAGTGCAATGGAATTCAATAGATATTTAAAAGATCCTGCAAAACATGACACATTCAAATATATATATATGTATATTATATTTCACAATGAGACACGTTTTGAGCGATTGCAAACATTTGGTAGAGCGGTTTGCACATAACCTATACATTTCATGAACTACAAGATCCATGGTAATTCCTACCACTGAAGTACATTGGAAGGGTGGTGAAAGTTCAAATAACATGGGACAAATCTTTGAAGTCTATATCAAAATGTGGAATGGCTTGGTACAGCTACATATACACATATTAATCTATTATCTCAATAAATTACACACTAGTTGGTTATCATACACATGGTAAACAAGATCTCAAACCACAAGTTTCTGGTCTTTTTAATGATACGGTCTGTATGGAGAGTCGTGTCTGTAACTATTGAACAGTCTAGAGTCCCCGGTAAAGTGAATGCTTGCTGGATTGTATTACAAATCTGCCTGGTGTTGAGAATGGTAATTATAAACATGAAACAAGGTCAACCTCAGTGATGTGCAGAACACGTGCAGTAAAACAAACAGAAGGACCGACTGCATGCAGTTGAGAAAACTTTTAAGGAAAAGACAAAATATCCCACAATGAGGCCGAGAGCAAAATTAAACCCTAAATGACAGTCGCAATTTGTGTATACTACAGGCGAGAGGCGACGGCCTATCTCCTTTCTTTGCATATGGGTCATTGCATTGTAATGGGTGAAGCGCTGTTGGTAGTCGTTGTTTACAGGAGGCTCCCAGGATTGGCACATATTCACATTTCAAGATGTCTTGTCTGGCAAGGCCCAGAGCATGTCACACATGCTTAAGGTTCCACATTAATGATGTTAAAACAGCGGGACAAGGCAGAGGGGAGCTGCTACATGCCACACGTTAAGTCACAGGACTCCCAAAAAAGACCACGTCAAAAGACAAATCTGGACATGGTCCGAAGGTAATAAAAGTGGCAACATGTTGCACTACTCTGTTTTATGGAAGAACTCAGAAAAACAATCCGCTGAGAGTACGATTAAATATTCCATGGCACAGCTCAAGTCTGGGCGATTCAATATTCCATCACAAAGGGTCACGAAGGACCTCTGCCTTGGAGAGGATTTTGCCTGAGCTGGGCACTTTCCAAGAGCT